GATTTCACAAAAAAACAACAAAATGATTTAAATCCTACACTGAGTTCCCAAAGTAATCATTGTCTTCAATATGTAATTGAAGCTCATAAGATCCAAAAAATGTGTGCAGCTAAAGAGTGCTGTGAGACTGGGGGAGCTTCACAATGCTCTCGAGGATGAAAAAACTAGAATAAAAGGAGCTCCAGGCTAGCACGTAGAGCAAGACTCATAAGAGAACAAAAAAATGAGGAATATATCATAAAATATATATTGTGGGTAAAAACACCCGTCTGTGCTTGACTCACTGCTTTTGAAATAAAGTATCTTAGGGTTTTGGACTGCTGCTACAACCATCTTATGAACCATCTTAAGCTTTAGAGGCGTTTCCCAAAAGCACAATAACTGAACACACTACATGTTTTTATTGCCACAGGTCTGGAAAGTACTTGAAAGGGCTTGAATTTAAAAATGTTATTAAAAAAGGATTTCGCCCAGCAGAATCTCTAACCCTAACCCTATTTTATTTTCTGGAGAAAAAAATAAAATAAAACTTTGCTAACACACACACAAATATGATAATATATAATAGTTATTAGTTTATCGTGTATCTTTCTTTATTAATGCTGCATATGTTGTTTGCCAAATGCTTACATACAGCAGGCCTAATACAGTGGGCCTCCAGCAGCAGCTGAATCAGAAGACCTTTTTCACAGCAGCCCTTTTGACAGGATATAGTAGGGTAAACACAGGTGTTACTAATGATACTACGGTTCTGTTCCATTTAGTGTGTTAGAGCCTTTCCAGTGAGCCAATGTGCACAATAGGAGCATCCTGACTCTGTTTGACCTGAATCAGTTCACTTTCTTAAAGTGACTTACACCCAGGAATATGAATTGTTTAATTGTTTGAAACTGTTTACTGCACATTGAGCTTAATTTTAATAGTGAACAACTCCTAATGTAAAACCCTTCCTTGTGTCAAGCGCCGCTTAATGATGTTTTTTTTATGGGTCGTGTGTGTAACAGGTGGGCTGGCGAGCCGCGTGAAGAGGAAAGACACGTTGGCCCTGAAGCTGGAGAGAGAGCGAGAGGAAAGGGAGGCGCAGGAGAGCCACGAAGACATGAGCTGGCACAACAGGGACCAGTGGGTGGCAGTGAGGAACAGGATCGGTACCACACTGAACCGGTAAATCACTGGCATCGTCATATTGTATTCAATATGTCACCCATCCATCACAGTTTGACCGATCACATGCGTTATTTACAGTGGAACTCATATTGTTGAGACACTCCAAGGATAAAACTCATACCTTTTTAGTTTGTCGTGGAACGGGTCACCTCTCAAGACAAAATCTGTTCCTTTTTAAATGATCTCCATCAGCCTTTAAAAATGAGTAGTCAACAGTGTTTTGTGTCCTCAGGCGGCTGAGTCAGAGGCCGACAGCAGAGGAGCTGGAGCAGAGGAATATCCTTCAAGGTAAGACTCTCCGTCCTCCATCCCTCACTTCTTCACTCAGGTGTGTTCGATTTATCTCTGTACCACAAGGTCAGAAAGCACACTTTTCATTTTTCTCATCTTTGCTTCAATCAATAGTTTGCTTTAGTCAATCGTCCTCTGGTTTTTTTTCCCCTCTTGCCTCAGGCATATTGATGGTCACTAAACACACTGCAGTTTGTGCAGTTATAGTGATTTGACTTTATTAAGATGTTTCTGATTTGAATAATAGATAAACGCTTTATGAAGAAGAATTTGGGTACCTCATCAATTGTTCACACCAGACTTGCACATTTTTAGTAAAGGGGAGATTAAATAAGATGAGACACTGAATCAAATATCCATCCAATATTTTATAGGCTGTTTCACTGTATGGAGTCTACACAACAAGCGTTGAATGCTTTTTATTTGTCATGCATCTTTTGTTCTCTCTACTTTCATCACCTCCCATTGTTTTTAATACTTCAATCCTATCTTTTATTGTGATATCAGTTCTATAAAGTATATTTTTACACATTAGTCCTGATGTTTGATGATCAAGCTCCACTGCCATATAGTTTTGCTAACAGTAGATTTTCTCCACACTTTTTGTCAGGGAGTTGTTTTGCAACTTGCTTAAATGAAATACATTTTATAACATGTTTAACCAAGCTCGATAAAGGTTACAATACAGAGAACAAGAACTGAATAACGTACTTCCAGCAACTAGATAAAATACTACAGAGGAGTTGAATAGTTTAGCAAGTATGAGACAATAGAGTCAGAAATCAATCAGTGCTAACAAAATAAGTACAAATCACAGGTACAAACAAAAATAAGAGAAAATGTGTTCATATATCGCTTCTTACATGAGGCCCAATGACTCATAGTCATGTAGACATCCCAGTTTCAA